AAAATCTCCTGCCTGTAGTTATTTACAGAGACTGCAGAGAAGTGCCTTGCCTCTGGTCCCAATCGCAGGGTCCAGGGAAGGCCATAGATTGGTTCATCCTGGGTCAGGAGGCCCTGGCAGGCTCATTTGCTGTGGGAATATGATGTCGTGTTCTGTGGAGGCTGTTTTCACTCCATCTGTGGATTGGCACATAGCTAGAGAATCTCAAATGTCCATTCTGGAGCCGTTGGAGAAAGGACAGGTTACCCTGCTGGTGTCTAGGAAAAGTAACAAGGAGAGGGAACACCTGGTCTTCAAGAGTTGAATTGTTTAGCAAGTGATCTTGGGAGCCACCCAGTGGGGACCACCCTGGGACTGGGCCAGAGTTGACACCAAACAAGGGAGAGCCTGAGTTTGCAGGGTGCAAAGTCACACAGAGAAAGATGCTCCCATTTTATAGGCACAGACGCCAAGACTCAGAGACAGCAAAGCCTAAACTCAGCAGTCAGATCGACCAGGTGCCTAACTTCACTACTACCCTCTGTCTCCATTCCAAACCAAGCTCCCCAACCCAGGCTCCCAAAGTAAGAGCAGGAACCCAGTGCCATGTCTCTGCCTCTGCTCACAGCTCTGTCTGTGTTTTAGGTCAACTACTATGCAGATATCATCTATACCTCAGCTGGTGTGGACCCCACCCAGTCCCAGTACGTGACAGTGGGCTCTGGTGTGATCAATTTGGTGATGACTGTCGTCTCGGTGAGTTATTGGGGAGCAGCCTCTCTCTTGTTGCAGGGTCCCAATCAACGCCCCCAACCTGGAATACAGATGCCCATAAGCCAGTTAGCATGCAGGTGACCCTGGTCCTGGAGGCACTATTTGGAATGTAGCTCAGTTGGCAGACGGCTTGCCTAACATGCACAAGTTCCTGGGTTCAATCCCCAGCACTGGTGTCAGACTACACATGATGCCTCGTACTTATAACCTCAATACTTGGGAAGTGAAGGCAGAAGGATCAGAAGATCAAAGCCATCTTTGATGATATAGTGAGTCCAATACCAGCCTCGGCAACAGACAAATGCTCCAAAGCCAGCTATGATGGCAATGCTTGGCCATCAGCTTGACCACATCCAGAATTAACTAAAACCCAAGCAGCCGGGCACACATGTGAGAGATTTTTTTTCTTAATTAAATCATTTGAAGTAGAAAAACACACTCTTAACCCAGATCTTTTGAGTCATGAAGATCTGCCTCTAATCTGGGCCACACCTCTGCTGCCAGCCTGTATAAAGGACACGCAAGAAGGAAGCCATGCTCTTCACCTGGTTGCTCTCTCACTCTTCCTGGCAAGTCCATCCCTTGACTGGCATTAGAGCCGACTTCTTCAGGACTCCGGCATATACTGAAGACCAGTTGAGACATCCAGCCTTGTAGACTGAACAACTACGGGATTCTTGGACCTTCTGTTGGTAGATAGCTGTTGTAGGACTAGCTGGACCACAGTTTGTAAGCCATTCTAATAAATGCCCACACACATATATAAGTTCTGTTCCTCTAGAAAACCCCGACTAATATAAACCAGGAGTAGGTGTTGCTGTGACAGACCTGATTATGCTGCTTTGGGGAGGATTGCAAAGGGACTTGGGGACTTTGGGCTAGGAAGGCCGTTGAGTGTTCCAAGCTTGGTGAGCTTTGTGGAAGCTTGGAAGATAAGAGTGTTGAGATCAGGACTGAATCAGAGGTTAAGAGCACTGGTTGCTCTTCCAGAGGTCTTGAGTTCAATTCTCAGCAACCACATGGTGGCTCACAACCATCTGTAATGGGATCTGGTGGTGCCCTCTGCTGGTGTGCATGGACACATGCAGACAGAACACTACATAATAAATAAATCTTTTTTTTTTTTTTTAAATGCTGAAAGCAGTGCAGATGATGGAGACATGGCTTGTGAATTTCCAGAGGGCAGCTTGTGTCACCAATTTACTCTCTCAGGGCTGGTTGCTATTTTGAGTTGAGTATCTGTGGTTCTTTTGGTCAGCTGGGGCTGAGGAAAGACCAGCATCCATGAGGTGAAACCTTCTGGGAAGTGTTTCCTCAGAGTCAGCACACACAGGCTGTATTCCAGAGGCAGCCAAGGTTGCACCTTGTGCTGGGAGCTGAAGTTGGTGATGTGTAAGCATCACCCAGGCGGTACTGGCCCTGAAGGTAGGAAAGGACCATGGAGAACAGCGGAGGTTCGCACTGTGAGAGACCAGGAGAGGTCAGTGGTACAAGTGCAATCTCAGCAGCAGCTGAAGGCCCAGGAGTCATGCAGAGAAGCTGATGTTGGCACCATGAGGAGAGCCCAGGAGGGTATATTGGTGAAGGCATGGCACAGCCGGAGACCCCAGTGTTTGGGAGGTTCCAGTATTGTGGGATGACCATCCAGGGCAGTGCAGCTGTGGAGTGGAGCCTGCCCAAGCTCAGAAGACAAACTATGTGTACACAGAGGACTGAGACAGAGAAGTGACCCAATCCCTTTGGAGGAACCAGAAGCTCATGAGTGAATCTCAGATATTAGACATTGAGTTTTTTATAATGTTGGAGCCCAGGTGTGCTTTGTTCCAATTGTGACTGCAAACTCGTTCTTCCTTTTTGCAGTAAAAAAGTAGTTAAATTTTTTTGTCACATCCCACAGTTGACTTTAAACTTCTTTTTTTAAAAAGGCATTTTGGAGTTTTGCAGGTTTTAAAAGAGACCAGATATTTGTCTGTGATTTATTTATTTATTTATTTATTTATTTAGTTAGTTAGTTAGTTAGTTACTTAGTTATTGAAACAAGGTTTCCCTGTATAGTCCAGGCCGTCCTACAACTCGCTCTGTAGACCAGGCTGACCTTGAACTCACAGAGATCAGCCAGTCTCTGCCTCCTGAGTGCTGGGATTAAAGGTGTGTGCCACCATGCCCAGCTGAGACTGGATATTTTTAAGGAGACTTGTAAAGTGTTTGAGTTTGTAAAACTGGGGCTTTTCAGGCTTGTGAAATGTTTTATACTGTGATGTCTTTATTACTGTGCCATGCTGGGGATGAACAAGAAAGGAAAGGTTGTGGCTGAACAGTTATGTGGTTGTGTGTCGAGTTGTCAAGGAGTCAGTTGTCCTGGCTAGTTTTCTGTCAACTTGACAGAGACTAGAGTCACCAGAGAGAAGGGAGCCTCAGTTGAGAAAATGCCTCCAGAGGACTGGGCTGTAGGCAATCGTATAGGGCAGGCTTGACTAGAAGGATGCTAATTAGAAGGCCTGCCTGCAGGCCCATTGTGGAAACTGAAATTAGCTGGTGTAACTTCAAGGTCCTGGCTGAGCTGGCTGGCTGGGGAGGATGGAGAGAAACCAAAATGTTTCTAGAGATGCATAATTATATCACAAAAAGAATGTGTTGGTGTCTTAGTTAGATTACTGTAGCTGTGATGAGACACCGTGAACAAAAGCATCTGGGGAGGAAAAGACTTTATCTCCCTCACAGTTCTACAAAACAGTTCATCAAAAGTATCAGGACAGGAACTCAAACAGGGCAGGAACCTGAGGGCAGCCACTGGTGTAGAGGCCATGGAAGGAGTGCCGCTCGCTGGCTTGCTCATCATGGCTTGCTCTGCCCACTTTCTTAGAACCCTCAGCCCCATTAGCCCAGGGATGGCACTGCTCATAATGAACTGGACCCTCCCATACCAGTCACTAATTAAGAAAATGCTCTACAGGCTTGCCTACAGCCCTATCTTATGGAGGTATTTTCTCAATTGAGATTTCCTCCCTCCCTGTTACTCTAGCTCGTGTCAAGTTGACACAAAACTCTCCAACACAACAAAGGTGATCACTGCCACCCAGAAAAGGCCAGACTGGAGCACTGTGGCAATCTCGGCAATCTTGGTGACCCACAGAGGAAGTAGGAGAGTGATGCCAACATCAGCTCCCATGCTGCTCTCAGACTCCAGGGACAGACAGAGCTGTTTTGCTGTCTGGGATTTCTCCAGGCCGGGGTGGGGGGTGGGAGGGCTGGTGATAGTAGCTGGCTAGCGATTTTTAGGACGATGGCTGCATCTTACCCAGAAGGCTAGAGGGGAGAGACAAAGGACCCAGCTGCTCACACACTGGTAGTGAGGTCCCTCCGCCCTTGCTCCCCTTGAAGATGAGAGATGCACTCTCAGACAATGGTTATTTGTCAGCCACCTTCTGGCACTAGTTACCTACAAGAGGAGCAGCCCCTCCAAGTGGAGAGGCCCCAAGATGCCAGAACATTACATGCAGAGAGCAAAAACCATGGTCTTGCACAGGGCAGCTCACAAACCATGTAGCTCTAGTTCCAGGAAATCCAACTCCCTCTTTGAGGGTACTGCATGTACATAGTGTCCGTTAGAAGTCAAGCAGGCACACATATCCACCTGAAAATTTTATTGTGGTTATTATAGGGAGTAGATATCCAGGGGTCTGTAAATGACAATGACCATAGTGTGGAATCCCGAGGTGTAACTTACACCAAATAGATCATCTGATGTAGCAGGGGTGAGTAAGGGCCAAGCAGGAGAGGAATCCTCCGTACTAAGTCTCCTTGTACCCACTCCCCTGCAGGCAGTCGCCGTGGAGCGTCTGGGGCGGCGGATTCTCCTGCTGTCTGGCTATGGCATCTGTGGCTCTGCCTGTGTGGTGCTGACTGTGGCACTCCTCCTTCAGGTCTGTCCCAGCAAGCTGCCCTGCGGGCAGGGGGTGCCCTAGGGGTTCCAGGTCCCAACTGTGTGGAGGGATCTCAGTCCTTTCCAGCTGCTTCCTTTTGTGGATAACTGTTTCAGAAAACTCATTTTCAATGCGAAGTCCATGAGTGATTTTTGATGAAAGGACCGTTCTGTCTCCATCCTTACCCTTGTGGCCTCTGTGGCCTCAGAGTTCCTGCAGCAAGAGGGTGGAGCCCACAGGGGGACTCAGCTTCGCCTAAGGCTCTTGGCTTGAGGCCCACAGCACTGCTTCTCCTACAGAGCACGGTCCCTGAGATGTCTTACCTCGGCATCATCTGTGTCTTTGCCTACATCGTGGGACATTCCATAGGGCCCAGTGAGTTCTTATGTGCCTCGATGAGGGACATTTCACAGGGTCTAGTGAGTTCTTGCACACCTTCTCTGCCTGTGCCAGTCTCTGGAGCCTGACACACATGTGGCACTTGGTAGATGCTTGTGGGATGGGTGGCTGCCCTTCGTCCAGTTTGCTTCTACCGCTACCCTTCAAACAGCTCAGCCTCTGACCTACACAGCCCCAGTGTTCTTTTCTCTGTTTTTTGTTTGTTTTGTTTTAGTTTGGTTGGTTGGTTGGTTACTTGGTTTGGTTTGGTTTGATTTCATTTTTCAAGATAGCATTTCTCTATATAACCCTGGCTGTCCTGGAACTCACTCTGTAGAGCAAGCTGAACTCAAACTCACAGAGATCCCCCTGCCTGTCTCTGCCTCCTGAGTGCACCACCACCATCTGGCCTGTTTTTGTTTGTTTGTTTTAAATTCGACTCATACTGTATATCCTTGGCTGGCTTTGAACTCACAGCCTCAACACCCAAGTGTGGCACCACCACTGCCCAGCCAAATTTATTTTTTTACATGTTATCTAATGTTTGTATGTCTATATGCTTGCCTATGCTACAGTGTGTATGTGGAGGTCAGAGGACAGCTTGTGGGAAGTGGTTTTCTCCTTCACTCTGTGAGTCTCAGGGTCAACTCAGGTCATCGGGTTTAACAGCAACCGAACCATCTTCCCAAAAAAAAAAAAAAAAAAAAAAAAAAAAAAAAAAAAAAAACCTTTTGTTTTTTTTTTTTTCATGGCGGTAGCAGTGAGGGGAAAACATAGCTATAGACATTTGCTACAAGACATAATGAGACAGCTGAGAAAGACGTGGAGAGCTGGCACGGCCACACCCATACTCATTACAGGGGACAGCAACGTGCAAGCCAGGAGCTCGAAGGGCACAGCAACTCCCTGACAAGCAAGAATTTCAAAATCGGGCCAGCATAGAGTAAGGACTGGAGAGAGTTTACACTGTGGGGACCCTGAGATGCTTTCCATCTGCTGGGTTGCTACAAACCATAACTGGTGTCCAGTTGAAAAAGCAGTGCTGGCTGCCACTCCTGGCTCTCCAAGCCTTTGCTGTAGTTGGGGGTAAAGATGGAGTTTCTTTTTACTTCCCAGTCCTGGCAGGGATGGTCCACACGGGGAGGTAAGACGCTTGAAGGGTCTGAAGTTTGAACTGAGGTCCTAGCAGCCTTCAGGGCCCTCTGAACCGTCCTTCCTCCCAGGTCCTGTCCCCTCAGTGGTGAGGACAGAGATGGTCCTGCAGTCCTCTCGGACAGCTGCGTTCACAGTAGATGGGGCTGTGCACTGGCTCTTCAACTTTATCGTGGGCCTGGCATTCCCATCCATGCAGGTGAGTGGCCCTTCGTGCTGTCCTTGGCCACCCTGCCTTATCTCAAGGCCATGAGTAGTTCCTCTTTTCTGAAGACTCTCCCCCAGGCTAGGGATGTAGCTGGGTTTCCACCTAGCGTGCACAAAGGCTTCCCCACAGCACAGCATGAGCTGTGTACGGTGGTGGTACAGGCCTGTGAAACCAGCACTTGGCACGTAGACAGGAGGATCAGACGTTCAGGGCCGTCCTTAGCTACACAGAGATTTGAGGCCAACCTGGGGTATGTGAACTCTTATCTCAAAATACGGTTACTGATTGGAAGCTACCACAAGTAGCTCTCGGGTACTGCATGTGAGACTTGCTTCAGCCCAGATATTTGTAAATATCTGCTTCAGCCAGATTTTCCTGGGCTGGCAAACCATGATAAGCGATGCCCTCCCACTACATGGTATGCCAAGCCTGGAACTCTGGCTCAGCAACCACAGTGCTGGGATTAGAAGCACATGCCACAGCACCCAATATAAAATCCTTTAGTAAGCCAAGCCCCACTTATAGAGGGGATTGCACCTCAGAGTTGGAAAAGGTTCTTCGTTAAAGATCAAAAACAAGGGTGTCAGAAGAGGGTTAACCCTGCTACCTCCCTCCCCTGAGTCAGCCAGACCCAGATTTCCAATGCAGGAAGAATCCAGAGCCTGTAAAGTCCCTGGGAGCCAAACACTAAAGATTTCTTTTGGAGGTTAGGTATGGGCCCCATTTTCCTGCCGATTCTTCCTCTAGGAGTGGAATAAAATTGACCATGAAGAAAATCCCACTGGGCGTTGGTGGTGCATGCCTTTAATCCCAGCACTCAGGAGGCAGAGGCAGGTGGATCTCTGTGAGTTCGAGGCCAGCCTGGTCTCAGAGCAAGTGCCAGGATAGGCTCCAAAGCTACACAGAGAAACCCTTTCTTGGAAAAAAAAAAGAAAAGAAAAGAAAAGAAAAGAAAAGAAAAGAAAAGAAAAGAAAATCCCTGTGACTCACAGAAGTGCCATGTATGTTGTCTGAAGGGTCTCCCTCCCCCTCGTCCCCTCTCTGCTCTAGGTGGCCATCGGGGCCTACAGTTTTCTTATCTTCGCTGCACTCTGCCTTCTCACTGCTGCTTACATCTACGTGGTAATTCCTGAGACCAAGGGCAAGACATTTGTGGAGATAAACTGTGCTTTTGCCAAGAGAAATGGAGTGGTGTTTCCAGAAGGGAAAGAAGTGACAACGGCCGAGCCTCACACACCCCCTCTGCCTGCCAAGCAGACAACCTTTTAATGGCTCTGTGGACCCTCACATACTCTGGCTTCCTTCTTTGAGAAGGACACTTGGGGACCAGGTCTTCAGAGAGGGTAACAGCTCTGAGACTTTGGTGTTCCCATGGCAACTGGAAGACTTCAGAAACCACAGCACTGATTTACTTGACAAGTGGTTAGCTCCCCAGGCTAACCACCAGAGGAACAATGTAGATGGATAGGAGCTGATTCTCTGGCTCTATATATTAATTCCAGAACTTAAAGCAGGTATGGAGGCATTTTTTAAGCTAAAGCTTTATAAATTCAGGGTCTTAGATTCATATTACTATAACAGAATAACTGGGGCAACCAGCTGATTTAAAAAAAAAAAAAAGATGATTTGGGTTCCTGTTCCTCAGGTTCCAGTCCAGGACTGAGTGGACCCCACGACTTTGGCCTCTGGCAAAAATGACACATCCCAATGAAAGGATGTGGTAGAGCAGGCTGCTTAGTTCATGATCCAGGAAATGGAGAGATGCAAAGTCCCCTCCCAGAATACAGCACCATAATCTAGAGACCCCTGTGAGATCCACCTCTCAAGAGCTCTGCCACCTTCCAGCAGCCAGTGCAAGCTTCCCACACATAAACCTTTGGAGAGACTCATCCAAGCCATGATACTCAGTGTGCCATGGAGGGCTGGGAGATGGCTCAGTCAGCTAAGCGCCTGCCATGCAAGCCTAGGGAACGGAATCTCACACTGCACCTACATAAACAGCCAGGGGTGGTATGTGCTTGTGATCTCAGCACTGGGAAAGCAGAGACAGGGTTCT